CAACAAATCTTCTTTTTCTGCAGCATTGCTTCTATGATCTTAGGGGCACTGGCCGCCATGGCCCAAACGAAAGTAAAAAGACTTCTAGCTCATAGTTCAATTGGACATGTAGGTTATATTCGTACTGGTTTCTCATGTGGAACCATAGAAGGAATTCAATCACTACTAATTAGTATCTTTATTTATGCATCAATGACGATAGATGCATTTGCCATAGTTTTAGCATTACGGCAAACCCGTGTCAAATATATAGCTGATTTGCCATAATCTCTTCGATCTCTTCATTTATGTGCCAGAATAGAGAGAGATTTGGTAGGAAAATGGAAGAGACCTTTTTGTATATGATAATCAAAGGGAGTGGGAAAGCTGCAGTAATTCTTTGGAAAAGCCCGGTTCTCTTTGTCTTCGAGCTTTCATTCCTCAATCGANGGCGGAAACGTTCCCTTTGTCACTATAGACTGAACTCGCTGTGAACCTTTTCGATTATTAGTAGTGGCTCGTGAAGTAGCCCTCTTTCTTTACAAAAAAAAGGATACATGCCCATTTACTTGATATTATATTAGTAAAGTCAAGCCTACAGTAAGAAAAAAAGTACGTTGAGGTTACGAAGTCACTTAGCCGTATACTATACAAAGGGAAAGGCGCTCATTGAGCCGGTCCCCGGTGGCTAAAATCATCTCAAAGCTGAAGTGAAGAAAAAAGTCAAGTTATTGCAAAACAGGAGAATTAAATTCTATAAGGTAGGGCTTTAGTTTTTCACTAGAAGCTCAGCCTAGAGTTGATCGACAGGTTAACCCCGAAATGAGTTGATCGACCGGTTACCCCCCGTAATTGACCCTTAAGCTCGGGGGAATCGGAAACTATTGTATCTTTTCCAAAACGGCACTCTCCCTTGATTTCCACAATAATGTTTGCTTATGAAACCTTTTTCACGTGGTTCTGGTCTCTTTTCGATTACTTGACAAAGGGGAACAAAAAGAAAAGCCCTATACACCACTCTTTTAGTTCCCAAAATATATAGAATCCAGAATCCTTTTAAGCGCCTTATCACGAAAGTGACATGAAAGACGAGTCCTCTTCGTCTAACAGTTTCACCGGATTGCAGGCAGGCTGAGAGGGAAGTCTAGCTAGTTTTGATTGAGCTCCTGACCTTTGACTCACCTGATTCCGAAAGAGTACTTTTGGTTGGTGCCATATGCCTGTCTCGTGCATATTAAGGTTTCCTTGCCTTGCTTTCCCTTACTAGTCCGAGGGGAAAGCACAGAATGGCAGAAGCGAAGTGAAACTATGAACAGACGACTCGATCCTTGACCTCTTATTATAATTATAGGCAAGAGCGAAGGCTCGACTTATCAATATCATAAGAGAAGAAAAGCAAGTCAAGCAGTACGCCTGATTCACGAGGTTCTACCACTGAATTTGTTCGGTGTCTCGGAGTTGTAATCTTCCTATTAATGATTGTGACAGCTTTGACCCCGAAGCTTCTTTAGTTCCAGATGATGCGGATCCAATCTCATCTCCTGAGCTATACCTATAACTTATGCAAATTTTGATTTTCCCGAACTTAGTTAATAAATAAGGCGAGATGGAGACCCTGATTTGGACCCTCGTGATCGAGCTTATGATTGTAAAGAATGCGGAGCCATAGTCAAACGATCCAAACCAGGTTGAGAGCGTCGAAGCTTATCCACCTGTTCACCCTCTCCGCTTTCTTTTCTTGAGAAGAATGCTCTGGTCTGGCATAAATGCCACTAGGTCATCTATGATTTGCATCTGCAAGAATGAAGGACAGAAGATTGGAAAACTAAAAAGAAAGTCAGGGCGTCCGGTGGATGAAGTCTACCTTTGTAATGTCAGGCTGACTCGGGTATCCAATCAATTAATCCCACAAACTGGGGAAGCTTAAGCGGAAATGAAAGAGGAGGGTGAGGGAAGCCACTAAATTGAGGGCTTCGCTGATCAGTACTTCCTTATTATAAGCCCGGTATCGAAGACGGATACCTCACTTCCACATCTTTTATCTGTTTATTCTAGCAATCTTACAGTTTGTATTGAATAAATCCACGTATCTTTAAAACCACTTACAAATTTAATTGTTATTCGTTTGTAAGGATAAACACTTCTCTACATCGATTATGAAAGTTAGCTTCGTAAATGACATATTCAAAACTCTAAAGCGCATAAAATAGTTGAAGAAAATATGGAGTATAACATTGTTATCTTTCTGTAAGTAAAAAAATTATTCATAAATCTTTTCTTAATATAATTTCAGGACTAAAGTGTGAGCAATTCCAAATCCTATTGAACCAAACTTCTGAAGAACTGACATCTCCAAAGTGCACTCTGAAGGCAATAAATGAGCTGTAAACATTCAGAAGAGCAGAGCCATAAACTAGGACTCTTTGTATCTACAACTACCCACAATCGTATACTTCCTCAGCAGGAAACAAATGTTTTGTACAGTTCTTAGGCAAGTTTGAAGAACATGTAAATGCCTCGTGAAATTAACCCCAAGAGCTGACATGCTGCAACGTATTATCCTGAGGTCCTACAACATGTTGCAGTGGATAAAGCTATGGCTTGTATTCAACAATTATGATGAATACCACTAGTTTGTACCATCTTACAGACTATTAAGTAATCATTCTACCTAATTCGAAAATCACCTACGGGTTCATCGACTCAATAGCAGTTCATTTAAGAAGTTTATTTCAAAAAACATCAGACAGTAACATTAAATTGAGTTTGCTCCATAAAGATATAGTAGTTCCTTCACCTTTTCATACTGTTATTGTCTTGCAAATTACCAACCCATGCACGATTATAATTCTATCTTCCACAAAGGTACGTATAATCGTTCTTCTAAGTCCTCCCCTTACTTTGCATGCGACACGAGGGTTCGCACAGTCCTCACCTGGACATGCATGCCAGAGTCGGTATGTTTTACAGCACAAGACGATGATGGTACAGTGGAGTTGGTCCAAAGTGACTTTCATGTCAAAAATGCAATATAGACATGCCAAAGGCATCAGAGATACAAGAAGTTTTAGGCAGTACCAGTGGCTCAGACCTCAAGAAAATGGCAACCACAGAACCAGAAGCCGTCCCAGATCGGTTGCAGATAAAGTCTCCTGCAGCCAATGTAGTCCATTGAGCATGGAAGCAACATCCTCAGTAGTCACATATATCCAGGTTCACCTGAGCATATGGACAACCTCCAAAGCCTGATACAAAGAAACCCACTATGACTCAGCGAAGACAAATACTATTGGCAAATCGACAATTATGTTGTACATCATTTAAGTCTAAAAGCAAATATAAGCATATACTCCGCATCGAAAGATTGTCTTACAAGTTTGAATATGACCTAACATGGATTAACAAGATGTTAACTCATATACGACAATAATATAAATGCAAGATGTGCAAGGATAAAATATCATTGAAAGATTATTTTGCAAAAGCTCTCCAGAAGCACTCCTCATCTCCCTAAACTTCTATTATTACTTGGTGCTGCCTTTGTTTTGGTTTTCTGATTGCATTATTTAGTGTTAGTTTTGTATTTTCGCTTCGGTTGTCAGATTGGTTTGCTTGTTATTGCCCCTCCCTTTTTTCCTTCCTGAGCCGAGGGTCTACCGGAAACAGCCTCTGCCTTCTTAAAGGCAGGAATAAGGTCTGCGTATACTCTACCCTCCTCATACCCCATTTGTGGGAATATTCATACCCTGTATGTTGTTGTTTGTCTCCAGAAGCACTCCATAAACAACAAATTGTTGATTATGCCATTAGCACACACAAAGGTCACTTTCTCAAAACAAGTAGCGTAACAACATGTCACGCTGTATTATCTTTACTTTATCAAAACAGGCTGCAACAGAAACAAGCAATTTTATAAGTTCTTGATTCATTCATTAGGTACAATTTTCTTCTCCTTATTCAGTCCATCTGTTGAACCAACTTCTACTGTTATTCAGGAATCAGAGTTAAATCCCACGAATTGCATTACTATTTATATGCTTCCACATTACTAGGATAGTAATTTGTGGAAATTCAAGGAACTTAAATGACAAGGATTTCAGGAAAGACTATGCCTTCACACAACATAGATCAGCAATTCTACGGATCAAATAAGTCAAGGAACCTAAATACTCCAATATTGACAAACATTAACAAACAGCAGTTACCATGTTTTAACATCCTTTACATGCCATAGCTGCTATAATAACAATTAAGAATACAAAAGAACCACATCTTGTTCGAACAACCCCAAGAGCTTGATTAAAGACCCTCCTTTTTCATCTTTGCCGTAGGAATGCTCCCCCTACAATGTCCTTGTTGTAAGGAAGTATGTCATTATTAGCAAAAAGGGGGGGAGAAAGTTGTATTAATTGACATATTTGATCCCATCACACCCTTCTGTTTTCTCATTTCAGTGACATCCTCACTTAGAAAACACCTCTTGTTTCTTGACGGGGCAACTGTTCATGAACATAATCAGCTTAGGTAAGTTATATATGAATAACTACAGTGAAACACTTAAATATTTGGAACTAACCATTTGTTATATCACACAAAGGAGGACCTCCTTTTTCTTTTTCGATTCCATTCCCTCTGACATATGCGGGATAAACATTCTTCGTAGAATGTCATTTTTTACTATTCTAGCACAAAGTAATGAAAAGTACAAAATAAAGCCAATATAATGAAACATATATATGATAAGTAATATAAAACGACTCTAAACAGAGTCTTGTCTACCATTCTAGTACAAAATAAAGCCAATATAATGAAACATATATATGATAAGTAATATAAAACGACTCTAAACAGAGTCTTGTCTACCATTCTAGTACAAAATAAAGCCAATATAATTTTTGGCTAAAGAAGAATTCGAAGTCCAAGCAACTAATTTAGTGATGAAAGAATGCATCACGATGTGACTTCGAGAAACCTATTTTCTTTAGTCCAAGATAATTATTTGTTAAGAGCTCTAAACATACTCCAAAATTAGTAGTAATTGACATGGTGGCTTATAATCTACGATGATTAGGTCATGGCCTTCGTAAGTAAATCTGCGATACATGGATTGAAACTCCAAAATGTGTATTTTAATTGATTCTTTTTCAACAATGATATATCTACCATAATTATATTATATATAAATAAGGTTAAATACAGCAAAGCTAAAACTACTGATCAAAGTTCATACCATTGTTGTCAAAGAAATTTATAATTCTCTATCCATACTGTCTTTTCAGCAAATAGTCTTTTCATAAACTATCTAATGCAATTCCTTCATAATCTCCAGTAACATTCCAACTCTGTTAGTTCCCAGACATGAAAATTTCTTCTAAACTGAAAATTACAGCAACTACTACCTCAAACATCAGCAATTAGACAACTTCTATGGACTCCTATGCTGTATAAATCAAGAAAGGAAGCAACTAAGGTAGTTTCCCAATACCATATATCTAAACAAAAACTAATTCTTCTAAATCACCAAGTTTTAGCCTGATAAACTCCTAAAAATTACCCCCTGGACTATCAATAAACTTCCTCATAAATTTAGAATAACTTATTATTGCTGATAATTAATTGTAGAATAATTTGTGGGAGTATAATCAACAGAAGACTAAAAGCCACATTCCATACCTGAGCCATGATAGAAGAATCTATCGTATAACCTACTAACCCAATCCATTTTACCATAGCAATTGTAACATTGATTGGAAAAAAAATGGTAAAAGTTTATAGCTTCCTAACCACCAAAATATAAATCAATACATAAAAACTTTTGGATAATTGGCATGTGACTTTGTTGAATGCAAATTGGCATGTGACTTTGTTGAATGCATTAAAATAATCATAAATTGAAAATTAAGTCAACTTCCAATATTGATTACCAGGAGCAACGTTTATGTATTCATCTTCAGTTAAATATGTCTTACTCTTCAACGGTGATTCTCGATGACTATATCAATCATCTTCGTCGTCTTCAGATCGGACGCAACTTTCTGTACAACACCGTAGTAATTCCAGTAGCCAACTCATCAGAAATAGAATAACTACTACGCTAAGAAATTATATGACTGATCCTGGAGGAGTTAGCCTCACGCACACTTCCTAATCTGCATTTATTCATGTTTATATTAGTTATAAAGTGTACAAACTGTACAAATCAGGAAAGGCAACATCTAAGGTAGTTTCCCGATACCATATATTTTATGAAAATCTAATTCTTCTAAATCACCAATATTTAGCCATATAAACTCCTGAAAATCACCCCTAGACTATTAATAAACTTCCTCATAAAATTTAGAACAACTTATTATTGCTGATAATTAATCGTAGAATAATTGGTGGAAGTATAATCAACAGAGGACGAAAAGCCACGGTCCATACTTGAGCCACGATAGAAGAATCTATGGTATCACCTACTATCCCAATCCATTTTATCATAGCAGCTGTAGCATTGATCGATTTTTTTTTTTTTGAAAAGTTTATAGCTTTCTAACCACCGAAATATAAGTCAATCCATAAAAAAAATTGGAAAATAGGCATGTGACTTTGTTGAATTTCAATAAAATAATCATAAAACCTCCAAAACTCTTGAAAATTAAGTCAACTTCCAATATTGATTGCCAGGAGAAAGCAACATTTATGTCGTTCATCTTCAGTTGAATATGTCTTACGCTTCAATAATGATTCTCGATGACTATATCATTCATCTTCATCATCTTCAGATCAGATGCAACTTTTTGCAATTACATGTTTCTGAAGATGGAGTACTCTACCCTTCAATTTCAAACTTTGTGTCTTGAACTAATTTTTGCGGATCTGAATTGCAATATGACCCGATAAGCTCACTATTGCGCAGTTATAGAGTTGTGCTGCCAGAGCGCAAGCAGCACACAGTAGTGGTGTCATTTTCTTCAGAATGGCAACACAATGGTATATCCCAGAAATTAGGATAACCCTCAATAAACATCAGTGATTCAATAAGCCTTTTACCTCAATAGTGGCGTTATTTTCTTCAGAATGAAAGAAATGACACTGCTTTGGCATTTGCAAATCCATGTAGAATACAAATAAATGTTTTCGCCGAGCAAACAAACACATCAACCAGAATTAGCGTGATGGCGAGTGTTTGGAAATGTCAGCAACTCCAAGCATTGAACTATCCATAGAATGTCATTATTAAAACTTTTTCTCAAAAAAAAATTCCATAACATCTTCACTTCCCACTTTTTTATAGGAAGCCTAAATATCTTTCTTCTGTCTAATTAATATAAAAACTTCACTACTTAAAGGTAACAGGTTACAGTTAACAAGCTTCCCAGCGCTTCCAGGTCTCACGTGTCGACAGTTCCTCATTCTAATTTTGAAATAACTCAAAGAACAAGACAACACCCTTGATCCATTAGAAATATTTTTTTTTGGCCACAGTTCTCCATCTCCGGCGTTAATGCCATATTCCTTTTGTTCCTCCTAAATTTTTGTATTTTTATTTTAAAAATCAAAACCAAAGTACCTCTTGAGCTTACTTTGCATTGGGCTATAACCCAAAGTAGAATCAAAGAAGGCAACAACTGCTCCTTCTGGAAGGTTGGCATCAGCGATAAATTTTGCGGCACTACTTGTGTTATATTCCCTGGAGCAACATTACCAATTGATATGCCTGTAGTTTTCAGACCATTTCATCTCTATGAAGACTATTGAACAATTTCTGCTCCTTATTTTCCATGATTTCAGTAGCAGGAAATTCTAGTTCTAGAGTAGCCTTGCATTTTCTATCATTGTCATATGGTTCTTCCTCTTCATCCAAAAATAGCCCTTTCTGAGTAACATATAGATTTAAATGCTTCTATCACCTTGGACGTAAACTGCAAGGAACCAAATTTTAGTTGGTTGTTGTATTTTGATCCTATGGTTTTTAGCATCATTCCTCTTTTCTTAATAATCGACTCAATTGCCTTGTCCTGCATCCTAGCTTGTTCTATAGCATGACTTAATGTAGAAGGTCGAAACAATTTTACGTACAGGTTGTAAGCCCTCTAATGAAACTAGATAAGAAATAAGCTTTATTCAAAGCAGGATTTTTAACCAACATTTGAGCTCTCCGTGTTTCAAATTCCTCTAAGTAATCATCAACTCTTCCCTTCTCAGTCAATTTATTAAAATTCCAAATGCATAGATAGACATTTAAAGTCTCAACATAGGAAATTTCTTGCTGACCTTAAAATTTGACCGTTGCAATACAGGCACCAGAGCACTACTATGCTGAAATTGAAACTAAAGAAAGAATGATTAAGTGCTCATATTCATAAATGTTTCAGATGATTCGTGAGTGAATTTTACAAGAACACTAATATCAGAATAAAAATTACACTACGGCATAATATGCCTATCTCCGTCAACAAAATCTGGGCAAAAGATAAAAGAGGGACGAGGAATACTTTACGCACCTCAAGAAATTTCGTGAAGAGCATCGCCGCCGCCGACCGGCAAAACATTTTTGGCGGCATCGAAGTATCGGCGAAGGAGCCAAAAAAATTTGGACCATTTCTCGATTTGTGCGTGTCATCCTTGCGCAGGGGCCATGCTAATCTTCTCTGTATCGTTCCAATTTTATCGGATGTCCCCGAAGGGACGAACTCCACTCTTGAGCTAGGGTTTTTATTGTGCCGTAAAGCTTTTTCTCTGTTCGATGAGGGAGAAAGAACGTACAAGTGTAAATACCGCTTTGAGTCCTAAAGTTAAGGAACTGAACACCTTCGTCCTATTTTAAGAACGTTTATTTCAACATCAACCCCTTATGTATCCATTCACTTGATAAAGTTCCCTCTGCACTTCTGAAGATGTCAAACTTACCCTCTTTTTCATACTATTCTTTAACCCAAGATGTCGAGAGAAGTAATGATTCTGCAGAAGGTCATGAAATAATATTTGATAATGGGTGGTGGCCGAGGGTGAAACTATACTAGTGGAAGTGCGATCAACTAAACTCCCTTCGTCGAAAAATTATATCATATGTATAAGTTAAATATTATTGATTAGGGATATATATAGTATTAAGGTGACAGTTCAATTGAACTCATAACTTTCGATTGAGAACACAAATTAATTTATGTGTAAAAATCTATTAAATTATAATAAGTAGTAGATATTAACTCATACTTCTAAAAGTATAATGAGTTCAATACTAAAAATTTTAAAGGTTAAAATTATAAAATTTAAATTCTGAATCTGTCTCTGCAATTATCTATTAGCTACAGAACATCCTTGACAAAGCTAGTCCAGTAGTGAAGGATGTTCAATATAATTTCAATGTTAAAGATTTGAGTCTCCCAATTTACCATGGCTAAATACCTACATAGCATTTTAAACTTGACACCATTTGTAAACTAAACACTTCAACTTCTTTAACGAACTTTACCTCGAAAAATGTGTTTCTTTTGAAAACCTATGCCGACAAAGCCAAGAGTAGGGGTGTACACAGGGGTCGGGTTAGTTCGTATTTTTCAATTATCAAATCAAACCAATAATGTCGGGTTTTTAAATTTATAAATCAAACCAATAAAGTCGAGTTTTTCAATCTCGATTTTTCGGGTTTTCGGATTTTTTTCCGGTAAAGTCTTCATAGCATAAAATATGTAACTTGTGCTCCAAATATTTCTTAAATCCTAGTAAAATAAAAATATATAATGTGTTTTCCAAGAAACTAACACAATAATATGAGATAAGTCATAGCATTATACTAAAATATTCAATAATAAAGATAAAATAATAAAATTATATAAAACAAATATTGCTAATTAATAAGCCATAATAAAAATTAACATAATCTTAAAATACTATATAGGTCATGCTAAAATAAGTATAGCTAATAAGTACTAATATTAATTACATAACTAAGCACTAAATAAAAAGATAAACTAAGTTATACATTTTCATTATAAACCAATGTAAAACTAAAATAATTATCCAACACTATCGTCATTCCTAGTATTGAATTGAATTTCTTTTGTTAGTATTAGTATTAAATTGAACTTTGTTTGAGTTACTATATTTATGGGATGTAAAATTTATTTACCATTCAAGAATATTAAGTCTAAACTTGAAATAATACGTTAAAAGATAAAATTGTGAAAAAGTTTAAAAAATATTTATAAATTATATTACAATAAATATTTATATATATACAATATTTTTAAACATTATATAAATGTACTATCGGGTTGGTTTGGTTTCGGTTTGATTTTTTTTAGTTAAAACCAAACCAAACCAATTATGGTCGGGTTTTATTTGCCAATACCAAACCATATCGGGTTTTTTTTCCGATTTGACTCGGATTATCGGTTTGGTATGGTTTATCAGTTTTCTTTGTACACCCCTAGCCAAGAGCATGAAATACACCCCTATTGATGTGTTAAGTGAACCAGTTATTAAATAACATAGTATATTTTGAAAGAAAAAGAATTGATAAGTATAACTAAAAAATATTTAAACAAAATACCACAAAAGAAAGAAAAAAAAAAAAGACAAACCCCGCCTCCACCCCTAGACTATCTCCACACTCCTATTTCCGTCAACTATATTTGGGCAGAACATAAAAGACGGACGAGTTTCATGAGTGAATTTTACAAACATCATCGCCGGCTAAGGGACAAAAAAATTTTGGACCATTTCTCGATTTGTGCGTGTCATTCTTGCATAGGTGTAATGCTAATCTTCTATGTATCGTTCCAATTTTATCGGATGTCCCCGAAGGGACGAACTCTACTGTTGAGCTTCTGGAAAATGGTCTTGTGTTTACTCGCCCTTTTCTAAAAGCCCATGACCAAATGGGCTGGTGGACTATATTACGAATAATCTTTTCTCATGGCAAGTGCTACTTGAAATATATATATTTTTGGGAGAAAAAGTGACATTTTTTGCGTCATGAAAATAGATTTATTGATACTATTACTAACTCTATTTACTATAAAAGTCGAGACACATTTTTCAAGTATGACGTGATTTCTTATGTGATTTTTACCAAATTTATATTCGTTTGATCCATATCCAAGTCTGTTCGAATCCTCTAGTATTTATATGAAGTATTATGATTAGTCTGTCGATAGTAACTCAAAGTTTTTGTTCTGCATCCACAACTTCCATTATTTATTCTTCGCAACAAAATTAAATAAAATTATTGGTTTAATCATATGTCATAATTTAGCTCTCTTTTTTGTGTGTCATGATTTAGTTGCTATAAACTAGTGATGGTATGATTCCGTTGGTTCAACTGTCTAGTAAACACAGATTTTAACCTTGTTAGGATTCCTTGCAACAATGAAAAATAATGATGTTCTGAAAATGAGGTCAGAACATATATGGATTAATTAACTAATTCCGGTTAAATGATAGTAGTAACATTTCATGTAAAAGCAGTGCGAATCTAATTCCTCAAAGAGTTTGAAGAACTTTTTATTTATAAAATAACTATAAATCTAAAATCCGAATCCCATCCAAACTCAGTGTGTTAAAAATTTCTCCATGTTTTCTCAAATATTTAAAATCGCATGGCAAGTCTCAAATGAAAAGAAGAAATGTCTTGTTTTCCCAGCTTCGAGTACTAAGCACAGAATTGGGGTGATTCACACGAAAAGAATGAATTGAGGTCACTGTTTATATTTTATCCCCATTTAAGATTTTTTTTTTTAAAAAAAATAGCGTTGCTCTATACAACTAGAAGAATGAACAACATTTTGCTCGTTTAATTGTTTAAAAGTTTTACTGGACAGCCAAAACTTGGTACTATAAATTATTCACAAGTATTGCCTCACGATCAAAACTTAATACTATCGATTGACGATTGTTCACGAGTTTTTTAGGACGGTCAAAACTTGGTATTGTTGAATTGTTTGTAAATTTTGCCAAATTGGCAAGTCTTGCATGTGCTATTCAATGGCTCACAGATTTTCCCAGACAACCAAAACTTAATACTGTCTTTCTTTTACCTATCTTGTTAAATTGTTAACAAGTCTTGCCGAATAGGCAAATCTTGCATGTGCTCAATTATTCACAAATCTTGCAGAATGACCAAATTTTAGTACCATTTTCGTTCTATCTATCTTGTTAAATTATTCAAAAGTTTTGTAGAATGGGCAAATCTTAAATGTATTATTTAAGTATTCACAAGTTTTGCCGTACGGCCAAAACTTACTATCTATTCTACCTATCTTGTAACTTGCATATGCTATTCAATTGTTCACTAAGTTTCATCAGACCTTATTCACATTGTTTTCCAAGCATATTGGCAACTCTTTTACCTGGTATATTTGTAACTCTTTAATCTGGTAGTTTGCGTTACTTCTCTTCCCATTTCTTCAATTCAAACCAATGTTGGAATTGTATAAAATCTTTTGCCATCAAATAACGTGAATGGAACATGAAATGCCAAGTACTCAGACTAACCAATTGAACAACTTCGTCCAATGAGGAATGCCAAGTACTCAGACTAACCAATTGAACAACTTCGTCCAATGAGGACTACCTTTATTTAGTTTAGCAATTTAAATCAACCAATAAGCATGAACGAGGAGGATGAGAGATTAAGAACATGAAGATGGAAACGAGTCTACTGCTGGGTTATATTTCAATGTTTTTAAGAACGGGGATAAAATATAAAAAGTGGCTTAAACATCCATTTTGGAATAAAATGTTGATATTTTACATGGTTTAATCTGTAACTTTTTAACCTTACAAAAAAAATATATTAACTTTTACGTCATTCAACTAATAATACAATTTCATTATGAAGCTACACAAACACTTGGCATCGGGGTATCGAAAATCCATTTTGGGATAAAATGTTGAAATTCCATGAAAAAGAGAAGACTGGCATTCATTCTTTACTTTAAACGTCTCAAACCAGAGCATAACATTTCTTTAGGCAAGAATATCTTCAAACTGTAACTAGATCTCAAGCTACAGCTCACTTCACAAATTGAATGATACATAAAATAGATGGAAGCAGAGCAATTTTTCCTTAACATCTTAATACTCTATCTTTTTACCTTCAGATCCTGTATGATTGTACACTTACGTACAACAGAACAAATTCAATTTTCCCTATAACTAAAGGGATGAGAAAATTGGGACACCTGGTAAAGTAGCTCCAGCTTCTACTATGAAAATGTTTCCTGAAACATATTCTGAAGAATCGTGGATTAAATAACGCACCACTGAAGTCAAAGCCGGGTCTGATGTTCCATGAGTTCTCAAGGGAATGGTTCTCAATGCAATATTGTGGAGCCAGTCCTTTTGCATGAGGCCCTCTGTTATCTCAGATCTGAAAAGTCCTGGTGATATTGAGTTCACTCTGATCTTGTATGGTCCCAATTCAAGGGCCATCATCTGTCATATTGCAAATTAGAAAAAGAAGAAAACATACAAACGTCTAACTAGTATGCAAACAATCTACACTTGACCAGAAACAGACTGCAGGCAGGAAATTTCCACAAAGAAAAGTTGAAATGGATGAGACCTTGTAGGACTTGATAAGATAACAAGAATGACTTTAGATATCATTGGAAAAGTAGACCATCTAGGACTCTAGGTAGGTTGTGTTGTTAACCACTAACAACCATCAAGTATAAGCCAGAATGCCACAAGTATTATCTATGAAGTATACAATGCCCTCTGTAAAAGAATCAAAACCAAATGCTTGATCTGCGTGAGGCATCACATATACTTTTAAGATGATAGTGAAACTTTCATATCTGTCACAATTGGAAATAGAATCTGCTTAGATTTCTCATTGTAGCTTAATGCCTGTTCTAGTTTTTGAATTAATACCTCCATATTAACCATGATCAATTTCACATTTCTGGCTCCAGCATACGTTCACCAGAGAATGGTGTGGCAACTATCCTAGAGGAACTCTTCCTAAGTGCTAATGCACTATCTATCTATCTATCTATATATATATATATATGTTTCCAGTGCATTTAAATGCATTCTCTAACAGTATATATGCATTTACCTTCTTTTCCCTCTTTCTTATTGGAGCTGCCAAAGTTAGAAACGTGATCTCAAGTATTGAATATGCATTTCAAGCTACAAATGAAACTGGTTAGCTTAAAAGAATCATGTATGCTTGTCTTCATATAATTGCATGCAATGTCAATGAAGCTAGGTTAAAAAACGAAGACACTACCTTCATCACAGTGTTAAGAGCAGTCTTTGAAGAAGCATAAGCAAGACCTCCTGGTAATTGCCCACGATTAAGACCAGCAATAGAAGAGATGTTAATAACAGATCCTCCTTGATTAGCATCGCGCATCCGTATACAAACATATTTGGACACCAACCATGCCCCTTTTAGGTTCGTTCTATAGATGTTATCCCATTCCTCCTCTGATAAATCCAGTGGAGAGTGCACGCTGCCTATGAGATACAACTAACAAATTAGACGTCATATAAAGCCAATTACCAAAAGATGAGAAAATTCTTCCATATAAGAATCACTCACAAGTCAAACCAATACCACTTTGACAAACTCATACATGATGTATGATTTTTACATGAAACCAACATTTCAATATACATGTAAATTATTCCATAATTGACTTTGGTTTTCAGATTCTAATCTTGATTTAATACTATGAGCATCACAACCTCCCCCCCCCCCCCCCCC